TCACAATATAATACATTCACTATTAATAAAATAATATAATTTTAGAATATTTTTGTGTAAATTTTTTATAGATACGATTGATAAACATTTTTCAGATATAATGAAGTTTAATATAATTTTAAATATGCTCTCTAATAATTTTATTATTATTATTATTATTATTATCAAAAATTAAAATTCACAATATAATACATTCACTATTAATAAAATAACTACCAAATACTAAAATAATTTTTAAGAGCAAGACATATCCTTAACCAAACACATAGTAATACAACGCATCACTACAAAACAAAACATAAATCACTTGCGACTTCGTAACAATGACAAGTTTTGATAATGAAAGTGTAGGCATATAACACATAGATTAAAGTTTAAAGAATCGTGCACGCAATGGTCCTCACCGCTGCTTGTTCCTCAATTGGTTTGGTGCCACGACTTCTACTTCTTTGATTCAATATAGGGATGAACCTGGAAAGAAGGCCATCGGTATGTTTGCAATACCACACCCTCCATCTCTTGCATAACATGAGTGGTAGAATGACAATTCCTAAGCCAAAAATAAATCCCAATTCAATGCTTAGGATATTCCAATCAATATGGGTTCCATCATCTGAATGATTATCTTTGGATGGTGGCAATACATTAACACTGCAATTCTCCTTCAGAGGAATTCCACATAATTCCTTGTTATCTTTAAAGGAATCTTCTGAAAATGTTTGAAATTGACTTCCACTTGGTATTCTTCCTTCGAGTTGATTGTGTGAGAAGTCAAGAACTGCAAGGAAATTAAGATCTCCTAAATACTGAGGAATTTGACCACTCAAGTTGTTACTGGAAAGGTCTAAAGACTCAAGACCGTGCAAATTTCCTAGAGATGAAGGGATTAGACTTGTGAAACCATTATGTGACAAGTTGAGTGCATAGAGTGCCTTGAACTCCCCCAAAACCTCTAGTATTTGCCCTACAAACTTGTTACATGAAAAGTCGATGGAGGTAAAATGATTTGGGATTTTCACCAATTGTCTTTCAGAACCTTTAATGGTAATAGTTACTGCATCTTGATAATAGAATCCTTGAGAGATATTTGCATCTTGTCCTTGAGAGATATTTGCACCTTGATAATAGAATCCTTGACAGCAATGGATGCCCTCACTATTTTTTCTGTGGAGAGTATTGCTTGCAGTACATTTCAATGTATCATAGATTCCATTGATATTAAATTCGAAATTAGTTTCAAGATGATCCTTAAGAACAAGGATTTTGAACTCATTTGAGGCAACCATCATTGCCGTCGAGGTTTGTAACCAATGACAAGGAGTTCTACCCTAAAATGATTGGAAGCAAGATCGATGATTTGAAGCAGTGGCCAGGAGGAACTGTCATTTGGGCAACTAATTGTTAGGGAAAAATTAGCGCAACGGAATAAATTAATTCCTGTGATCAAAACACGTGAACAATAATAAAGAAATGGTGAAACAGGCGGCTTAACCGACCAATATTAACGATTAGTGAAAAAGGTGATTTAGCCAACCGAGCAAAATAAAATAGACGATTCAACCTGCCACTTAAGAAATATAAATAAAATGGGCGGCTCAACTAGCCACTTAAGCGGGAAAATAAACAAGCAAAATAACACCAAATTTTACATGGAAAAACCCCCAAAAACTATTGAGGGAAAAAACTACGGGACAAACTCCAAAGGGTATTTCACTATGTAATAAAACTGTACATAGTATACACTCAAGTATTTTCTCTCTCTTGATGTTTCCCACTACCCCAAGATATGATCACAATGTTGATAAACTCACAATTTTATCACTCAATGTACTCTCTATGAAGCACTCTTACACCTAAGCTTTTAATGCCTAGCTCTCACCCTCACCCCCCTTTTTTTTCTTTTTCCCGGAGCCCTCTTTTTGCTCACTTTGGTGCTACACTCTTTGCTTCTTGCTTTCTTATTGCCTTGCCATTGCATGCTATTTATAGGAAAAGAATCCAACCACCCATGCATGATTTTCTTCCCTCATTAAATGCAATAGTTGAATTTACCATGCAAACATTCAACAAGAGCTGCCATAGGTGCAGCCTTTTACCATAGGGTATGAAGATTTTTCCACATGGAAGTCCATGTGTTCACATGGGCTGGAAATTTCCGCCAACACTAATTAGCCCATGAAAGTTGTTGTGCCTCAATACCAAGATTTGCAAATTAGATATGTTTTTCAAATGGCAAGGAAAAGTATCGTTGATCTGGTTGTTTCCAAGGTTTAAAACCTCCAAGATTGCACAGTTGGCCAAGGATCTAGGAACCTTCTCTTCTAAGTGGTTTCCATTGAGGTCTAGTGTTTGTAACAAACAGTTACTAGAAAATTTACCAGTGATGTTGCCACTGAGGCTATTTCTACTCAGGTCCAACACCTTAAGAGACTCCATCCTAGTTAAGCATTGAGGAATAGTGCCACTCAGATTATTATTTGACAGATCAAGGACTATAAGATTTGTAACATTGCAAATTGATTCAGGAATACTTCCCTGCAGGCTGTTGTTGGAAAGAGACATGAAGGAAGAGAAGCTAATGGAGTAGGGAATAGATTTGAGGATTGAATTACCATCATCGAATTGTATAATAGAGCTGAACTTGTTGTTCGAGTAATCTACATATGCCAAAAATGGTGAGAGCTGTGGTAGTGGACCTTGCAAATTGTTGCCACAAAGGTCTAAGACAGACAGAAAAAATTTGGAAACCTGAAGAGGTCTATGCCGATTCACCAGAGAGTTGTGAGAAAGATTTTAGTAATTAAGAGATTGAGCGGTCCAAATCCAATTGGGTATTTCCTCATCAATCTGGTTGGTTGAAAGATCTAAAATTGATAGTTTGGATCGCTCACTCAAGAAATTTGGGAATGTTCTCAGCTTGCAAGAAACCAATTTTAATGTGTCAATCTGAGGAAAAGAAGCATCATTAGAAATGGTTGCATTTATGAACAAACTGTTGAATGAGAGATCAAGTGTAGAAAGATCTCTGAGGTTCAAAAACGGAACTTAAATTTAATGGCTCACTGAAGTTATTGAAAGCAAGGATGAGGACTTGGAGGCTTTGCAGTTTAAAAACGAACATTGGGAAAGGTCCATCCAACATGTTGCTATCCAACTCAAGGGAGAGCAATGAAGAGGAAGCTAGTTCTGGGGGTTCATGCAATCCACCAGTGAATTGATTTTGTGAGAGTACTAGACTCCGCAAAGATGGAATGCCAAACAAAGCTGGAGGGAGAGCTCCACTTAGTGCATTGTCCCTCAAATTAATACTCACAAGCTTGGAAAGGCCTGACCATTCAGTGGAGTGAATAGAGCCAGTTAAGTGATTGTGGGCAAGGTTTAATTGAGTAAGATTTTTTGCAAATGAAAAAGATGGGACTGGACCAGAAAAATTGTTAGATGACAAATCCAAAGAGACAAGTCGTGGGAGATTTGCCATCGCTTCTGGAATTGATCCAATAAAATGGCAACTTGCAAGCTCTATCCATGACAGCCTCCCCAGGTTTCCAATAGATTCGGGTAAAGTCTCCCCAAAACTTGTTCTGCTAAGCCTCAAAAGTCTCAAGCGATAAAGCAGGAACAAATTCTTTGAGAGATCCTTCAAGAAGTAGGTTGCCTGATAAGTCAAGAGTCTTTAGTGCACGTACCTGGAAGATTTTCTCTGGAAATTGACCAGATAGATTGTTTCCATCCAAACGAATTGCTGAAAGAGACTGAAGCTTGGAAAGGGAAGAATCTATGGGGCTTGAAAGATTACAGTTTGACATGCTCAATACTTGCAAGTTAGCCAAAGAGGATAACGTTTGGCACCACTCATTTCCCTGTGCTAATATATTTACCCCATCAAGATAGAGATGCTTTAGCTCCTCGAGATCCTGAACAAGCATAACTAGAATTGGGTTCTCAAGTTTCAATCCAAAATAGAAATCAGCATATACAGATAAATCAAGAGTAACCAAGCTTGTCATCCTTGAAATGTCAATCGGAGTTTTCCCTATGAGGCCAGCATGTGAGAGAATAAGATGCGTCAAGTTTGAAAGTTTATCAAACCTGGAAGGAAAGTTGGAGCCGAAGTCGTTGTTTGCCAAATTTAGACTCTGTAGATGTTGGAGATCGAAGAGATTGCCTGAATTTTTAAGTCCACCAAAAATCCATTCGTCGCTCAAATCAAGACCGATAACACGACCTCTCACATCACACGTTACACCTTCCCACATGCAGCAATCTAGGCTTTGATTCCACCCCACCAGTTTCAGAGATAAGGACTCATCGAAGTCGAGCTCGTTCTTGAATTGAAGCAGCAATTCCTGTTGGTAGCTTTGACAGTGACCAGAAACCAAAACCACATTGATCTCGTAGAAAATTGTTGTAAGTAACATGAAAAGCCAAGAAAAGAGTGAAAGCGTCATTACTCACAACAATGTCAATAGAAACAAGGCAAACTGTGAGTTTTAGAGATTGGCCAAAAAGACTTATTGACTAATGGTTGCAACTTCTCAGTGTTGAAACATAGGCCTCTTTGTCCTGCTATTTATAATCACAACCACCTGAGTATCTATACAATTCATTTACATTTCTACAGTACTGCTGGAATAAAACATCAGTCTACACCGCGTTTTTCGGTTATAGTAAGAGTCACATTTCTCGCAAGTAAAGAGCAGGTGGAACATACTTTGTTTGTAAGTCGAGTCTCAAACTTGATTTTTCCCAAACAGATATCAAATTAACACTATATTTTTTCCTGTAAAAAAAAAAATAGTCTACATCAAAATTTAAAAAGTGAAAAATGAGAGAAAAAGCTGATGTTACCGGAAGTCTAGTGTTCTATCTACTAAGTATGTGAGACCAACGGACCAGGAGTCAATGCACCATTGGACATGGCGCGACTTGATAAAGACCGAAGGAGATGGAAGGAGGAAATTTCGAATGTATCAATCAAGTGGTTCCATCAAATTTCTGCATTGGAAAGACCGTTCCATTCACAAAGCTTTACTGCATTTTAATAAGTAAAAACAATTCTAATCTAGAGAAAAGCTAAACCATAGAATGAGTTTGAGAGGAGCCAGTCTATTAAATGTGAAAATATTGATGAAATGTTGTTCTTAATTTACGCGTCTACTTTACTCTATTCAACCACTTTTTATCTTTTTAGCTTTTGACCATTAAACAGTTTGGTCTTCCACAAGTTTTGGTTCCATCAAATTTCTGCATTGGACAGACGATTCCATTCACAAAGCTTTGCTACATTTTAATAAGGGCTTAATTCAAAAAATCATCTTCTAACTTCCAGTTTAATTTCAATTTTATCTATTATCTTTAAATTATTTTAATTTTATCTATTATCTTTCATATTTATTTCAATTTCATCTAGGCAATTAAAGTTAACAGAAATCTTAACGAAAATCTTTTTAAACCTTAGTACTCTAACTATGTTTCTTTTAATTTTTTAGTCCTTAAATTTATATTCACAATAAAAATAGTTTTTGTTCTTATTTTGCTAAATGTGTTTTTCAAAAAATTATTTTTCAGAGCAGACTGCTTTCTGTCTACCTTGTAAAATTATTTAAATACCCTTAATTCTATTTTTATATTATTTTTGTATGAACATTTAAATAATTTTATAAGACAGATTGTATACAATCTATCCTATAAAACAGACTTAATTACTCTTAAAATTTCTTATTCTGAATTTACTGAATTTCTCTATCTGAATTACAATCTATCTCTGTAAACTATTTTTTGATTCATCATATTTTATTATGATTTAAGTGTCATTTTTTTAAAACTCAAAGGACTACTCTTTCTTCAAATCTAACGGCAATCTAACGTATTTTTTGTACGGTAGATTAATTTGAAATATTTTTCAAAGTTTCTAGATCATTTAGAAATGAAACAAATTTTCTAGACTAAACTGAAATTAAACTAAAAATTAGTAGATGATTTTTTGAATTAAGTCTTTTAATAAGTAAAAACAACATCCTAATCATTACTTTTGTCAAAAAATAAAAAAAATAAAAACAATTCTGTTCAAAAGAAAAGCTGACGCATAGAAAGAGTTTGAGGGAGCTAATTTATTTATTTATTTATTTTAACGAAAGGAAATAATTAAATTAAATATTAATAATTATTATTTTGTAAAAAGATCAAATCTAAAAATTTAAGTGCATTTTATTTACTGTTTAATAAACAGTGTGGTCAATGGACCATATATACAGAGGATTGCAGAGAGCCAATTTATTAAATGTGGAAATGTTGATGAAACTTTTTACGTAATTTACGCGTCTACTCTACTCTATTTAACAGCCTTTTAGCTTTTTAGCTTTTTAGTTTTTGACTATTAAACAGTTTGGTCTTTCGAAATTATGAACTTAACTTGTTCTATTTTTAGTAAAAATTTATTTTTAGTTTTTCACCTTATTAAATTTGAAAGTTTTAACTTTTTATTTTATATTATAACACTTTTAATCGTTTACGTTACTAGATTTATAAGTTTTAATATTTTTTTCACTTATTAAAATTAAAAAAAAATATCTCTCATTTTATATTGACTATTAACTTTGTTAACTAAAAATAAATTTTTATCAACTAACAATCAACTAATAATTAATTAATAAAATTAACAAAATATTATAAAATTAGTTCTGTTAACTCTGATTGCTAAAAAAAATTTTCATAAGTTAACAATCAACTAACAATCAGTTAATATAGTTAACAATCAACTAATAGAGTTAACAATCAACTAACAGAACTAACAAAATATTACAAAATGAGAACTAATTTTTTAAAATTTAATAAGTGAAGAATTAAAAGTGTCATAATATAAAGTGAGAGATTAAAACTTATAAATTTAATAAAATGAAGAATTAAAAGTGTCATAATATAAAGTGAGAGATTAAAACTTATAAATTTAATAAAATGAAGGTTAAAAATATTATAATATAAAATAAAAAATTAAAATATTCAAACTTCATAATATGTGGGCTAAATGTAGGCTTTTGCTTCTGTTTTCTACTTCTTCTTTTTTTTATAACGGTAATGGTTAGAGGTTAGTAAGGTTAGAATTGTTAGTAGGAGGTATTGAACCTAAACAAAGATGCAATCCATCTACTGTCCTTTTGAGGCAGCAACAACCATAGTTACAACAAAAAAATACAAGAAATGATGAAAATTGAACCACATACCTAAAGTAAGATGTCCTTTAACTAATGATTAAGTGGTCACTTTGCTAGACGGGCTTCTTCTCTTTTCTACTTCTTTTGGAAGCTCTAAAGACTAGCAGGCTACACCTGTTAGATTGAGATTTGTAGATGAAAAATCGAAGAAGTTGCTTGAGTTTTCAATTTCCAATAATATGGGCCCACGGGAGTCCGGTTACACAGGCCTAAGAACAGTCCACTTTGTCAAAATAAAAAATAAAAAATAATCAAGGGAACTAGTTTAGTTTAAAATCAGTGTGACACCAAGCTGCCAACCATGAGAGTGAACCCAAGCCCACAACAATATTTTGGGCCAAAAGTCCATAATAATTTGATCCATCAAAAGAATCAAAGATCCAGTTATCCACTAACGTTGCCTAGCCCAAGAAAAATTGAAGTAAACCGGACGGGTTAGGGTTTTTTAGGGTATATAAAGCGAACCCGCAATCTTCTCGTCCTTCGGTGGGTTCGCGTATGTGTCAAACTAGGGTTTCAAGAGCAACTTGAGAAACAGAAAGCAGCAGCCCTCGTCGTTCAACCACCAGGAGAGCCAAGGTAATCTGTAAAACCTTTTACCCAAGCACGATGCTTTAGAAAATTCTATCCGTTTTGGCTTTTCTGTTTCTTTTTGCCCCCAGTCTTAATCTGATGGGGTTTCTTTCGTCGTCGAGTAAACTCATCGTTATCTTCGTTATCTTCGTTTCGATCTGGGTGATTTTTACAGTGGAAGAAGAAGCGTATGAAAAGATTAAAGAGAAAGCGCCGAAAGATGAGACGGAGGTCTAAGTAGGATGAGGGGTTTTGTTCCATGAGGTCTTGCTATGGCCCTTTTGCTGCATAGTAGGATCTAGGTTTTTTTCAATTTAAATGTTAGTTTTTGTTGTCCTTTTTTAACTTAATCTGGTATTATCCAAACTTGTGCAAAACGGGCACTGGATGTTGCCTTTTTAATAGTTGTTATTACTCTGGTTATATTTGATGTGGTGTTTTCACATTTACTGATGAATACGAATCCCATAGAAATTGGTTTTCTCTTATTATAACGGTTCTCGTTCTCAATTCTTTGCAATAAATAGACGATTCTTTGACTTTGTATGGGTGCATAATAGCTCTCTTTAGAATGATACAAATGCGTAGTCAGTGACGAGATTCATACCTGTGTTGTGTTGTGGCAAAATGGATTACTCTATTAGGAGATGAATACCACAGTGCATATTCTTATTCGGCAAAACCTCTGAACTTATTTTAGATTTTTAATTAAGTTTATAAATTTTTATTTAAGTAAATAAGTTATTGAATTTATTGAAAATTTAAGCAATTTAACTCTTTTCCTGCATATAAAGTAATAATATGTCAATACAGAGGTGTTAAGAGTTAAGGGATTTCACGTAGTAATTTTATATTTGCCTGGAGATTTTAGAATTTTTGTTTTTTTTTTTTTTCAGGTCTTCCTTTCCCAGATATAAATGTGAGGTGACCATTTTGCTTTGCACTTGTGGAAGAGAAGACCATTTTGCGTTTCCTTTTCGATTTTAGATCATCATTTTTATTAAGGTTTTTCTAAAAAATCACTAATTTGTATAAAAAAGAATATAAAAATTAATATTTTATTACTCTTTTAATATGTGATTTAAAAATAAAAATTAAAGATTTCCTTTGTTATCAAAGTCAAAAAACAATCTGAAATAGGAATTTTTCTCTCTCTAGGGCGATAACTGTCTAGAGTAAGAGAAATAGTAATTGCTTTTCACAGTTGACGCTATGCCATGTTCCCATCGGAAATCGATTGTTTCCCCCAGTATCCGGCCGGTAGTGACTTCTGATTCCTCTGCTGGCAACATCTCTGGTGGTTCTTCTCCGCAGTCGGTGGCAATCCTAAGCAAGAAACTTCATGACGAGGTCAAGATGATAATCGGAGCTGTCCAGATTGCAGACCCATCGCCTTCTATTTCTCCA